CATATGGAGATTAGTGCGATGTTCAACGAGATCTGAAGCGATTTTTGTGTTGGTGTGTTGGTTTGGGGTTAACGTCTGTGTCTGCAGGGGGTTCGACAGCATAGGAGCGCCGGGTATTTCAGTATCAACAGCGTTAGTCGTGGATAGCGCCCTTTGTTCTGCATCCGGGGGCCATGGTGTCGTGAACACGGGGCCCCCCTACAGAGAAACATTTCTTGACCTGGTTCATGTGTACTTTTTTAGGAGGCGACTGAGGAGCCGAAATGCTAGTAAGCGTAAGGTGAGGTGGTTCGACGGCGATCACTCGGAACTGCCCGAGCCAGGGATTACAAAGTTTTTGCGAAAGACCCACCTTAGGCGCGAAATCTTTGAGAAAGACGCGATCACCTACTTTGATTGAAAGAGGGTGCGCTAGGCGTTATCATGCTGGCGATTAAAGCGTTCACGTTGATTTTGGTTGCAAGGCGGCCGACCGCCATGCGGCATGGAGAGTTGCGACCAGATTTTCGATATAGATGCCTGCGTCAATATCAGTTGGAATATGACGCTTCAAGTCATGTTTAATGAGCAAGTCGATGTTGAAAGTGGGCTCTGCCAAACATAAGGAAAACGGGGTGTTGTTAGTGCTACTATGAATCGAAGTGTTTTACATGAATGTACAAGCCGAAACGTACTTGTCCCAGTCCGACTGATTTTCGTTAATGTATGTACGAAGCATGGGATGGAATGTTGCAAAAACCCTTTCTAGGCGGCGATAGCATGTCAAAAATATCCTCCACCCAAGCTAACCATGCTGAAAACTGTGTTGGGTCTCATCTAAGCCACTAAAGGAAGGAAGCGAGGGGATCGGGATCGGGGTCGTGACATTCACTGCGGATAGAAGCCCGTCGATCCGATGACCCATCGCCGAAAACGACTCGTTGAGGCCTGCCAAGAGCAATGCATTTGTAGCGTTGATTTTCCCAGCCAAGTTTGCCGTTGCCTGGCGGCTGTCAGTCCACACGTCGGTGATCGCTTGCGCCGTAACGTCGCGCAACTCCTTGACATCCCGCCCTGTGACGGGGCCATCGTCGACCACGTGGGCCAACGACGACGATACTGCTGCGGCAACCTGTGGTGCCGCAGGAGCACTTGGTGTTAGTTTAGAAAAGTGGGGATGGCCCCCGGTATCAAATGATGGCGCACGAGCACGAGTTGTCGGAGGCGGCATAAGCGAGAAGGATCTGAAATGGAGGCAATGAGGAGGCTGTCTGGACCTACAGAAACGACAACAGAGACGAGTGAAGTATGATCTTGAAGTTCGGAGTAGCTAAGAAGAGGCAAGCGTTTGAATTGAAAAGGAGAGCGACGTCGATGAGGCCTTGACCAAAATGGTGATGGAGTGAGATGACGGTGAGTGTGGGAAGGGCTTATATCTCCTACACCAGCTGTTCTAAGGAAAAAGATGTCTCAGCGCAGCTGCAACGATGTTCGACCCCCGAAGAAGTGCAAAGTCACTGCCATCTGCGAAGTGAGTACTGTAGAAATTAAAAAATAAGTGAAGAAGTTTGCGGAGGGGGGTGCAGGTGGCGATCGACGGAGCCCTGATTCGGTTCGAAAAGGCAAAAAGGCTGTCATCTGTGCGGCAGAGGACATAAAGGAACCTTTTTGTTCGCAAAGTAAAAAGGCAACATCTCTGAATAGAGCCGAGCGAGTGTGCAGCTGCGCGCCCCGCGTCGTCAGCGGTAAACAACTGATGATGGCTTGTCAAATACGGTAATAACACATTTGAGTTTAGAAAACTGGGCCTAAGGCCCTGGTAAGGTAGACGTGTCCTTACTGCTATTTGGCACCTGGCTCCGACCATTGACTATCAATCGCGCGATAATCTCACTTTGCCGCCTATCAAATCCGTCCCAATCTGATTGTCGGAACCATTCGTACTGCTACTCTTTGAAGTCACTAGACATGGGCGATCGCCGATGAATCCAGGGCGCCAGACACGCAACAAAAAATGCGGCAAAGATTTCCACTAAAGCCGGCAGTACAGGTCTTCCCAGAAGATCCTGATTCACAAGCAAAATATATGCGCGCAATGTAAACTCAAAACGTGGTGAGGAGCAGTGGTCGAGAAGTTAGGACCCAAAAATATTGAAAAAAAACTGAGACCCCTGCTCTTCACCACGCTAAACACGGGCAAAACAATGCAACTAAGATAAGCAAAGCATGCATGCAGATTAGACCTACCTGTCCGCTCATCCTCGTCGGGCGATGGAAACCACTCGCTGCTACCAGTCAACGTTGCGCCCGGAAGCGTGAAATATAGATAGACTTTGCGATTAGATAGTTTATTAGTCACTGGCAGGTTACATGGTTTATTGCACCGATATCAACATATGAGATACGACAGTAAGGCAGGTTGATATGAGTATAGGTATGACGAGGGGAAGCGGCGACTGGTAGGGCTATGGGGTTGAAGGAGGTGGATGGAGCAGATGGCGGTGCCCGACCATCTCGGGCAGCTGCGCGAGTCCTCTCTTGGAGTCCGAGGCTTCCTTCAGTCACGCCCTGTAATTGGATGAGTCAGCAAGAGTTAAATTCAAGCACTCACTCACTCTCAGTCTTTCTTACATAATTCTCACTCTCTTACAGTACTTAAGAATGCGGGATGATTTCTCAAGCCCTCCAACTTGCCCAAAGATCGAGAACATTAGCATTCTATAAGGCTATTGTTTACTTTGCGATTGTATACATATAATATGAAGTGACGGACATTACGACTGTTAGAAAAATGAGCACAAAGTTTATAGCGCTGCAAAATATTAGGTTGATTCATAATTAATGCACGTTTTTGTCACCTCTTTTTCCAAGCACTGGTTTTTTAAGGAAACTGAATCTTTCCCAAAAATTTCAATGCTATCTGAAAGAGCGTTTCTTCTAGCTTCTTGTGTATCCTTTCTTTTTCGTGACACTCTGTATGATACCGAATTCCACGCTTCGGAATATGAGAGACTAAAACTTGAAATTTTTTCCTTTCATTCTTTTTGCTCTAATTTCATGAGAACAAAAGATATTAATTTCAAAAAACATGCCTAACAATCGCGAAGCCTTCTGCTATAGAAATCTCTATAAAGCAGAATTTTGCAAAAGTTCTGAGATGAGAGATTTAACCACAAACTTGACCGGTCATTCTGGCCTTTCAAATCGTATGAAACTTTGAAACAAAAACCAATGACTGCGATTTTGCTTTGTATACAAAGAATAGACATAGCACATTGAGTGGTAGAAAAACGGTGAAATTTTACAGCTTTTCAATGGCAAAAATTTTGAAAATTCTCAAAAAAGACAATTTTTTGCTCTTCTGAAAAAGCTAGAAAAAGTGATCACTTTTGAACTTTTTGCAGTATCTCGTCTTAGAAAAATACCGTAAAATCCTGGATTTTTGCCACTTCTCTCTTGACCATTGGCTGCGCAATGAGCAAAGTTTGCGCTTTCCCCCTACCTTTAAAAGTAGGTTATGCTTTCTCAAAATAGAGGTTTTAAAAAAAAAATTCTTGGCATTTTTCGGATTGTACAAACTTTCTCGTTACATTTATCTATGAACAAAAATATGCGTTGTAAAGCCAAAGATTTGCTCTTTGCAACAGTTTTTATTGCTCTTTGAAAGATGATTTGGGAAAAAATTAGAAAAAATTACGGCGCTTTAAAGATGAATTTCGAAAAACGTGCATTAATTATGAATCAACCTAATATAAATGATGATATCTTTCCTAGTAGGGGGTATAGAGGCAGAAAAGGAATGATCAAGTCTAGTTTCTATCCGCTTCCAGAAAACATACAGTTTGCCAGGAAAAAGAGGGATTTTTCCTGCCAGGTAGAGATTGTTATGGCCGTTCTTTCAAAATTGGACAATTTTTCTATAAAAAATTGTAACTTTTTCATAAGAGAAGATAGGAGAGTCTTAGCTGTATATTGAATTATTCTTGTTGAATTCTTTCATAAAATATATAGCTTGCCAGGAAAGAAAGGATTTTCCCATCGGGTGAAGGTGGTCGTAATTGTCTTTCTGAAATTAAGGGCATTTTCCTATAAAAAAATTATAACTTTACTATATGAAAAGCTAGAAGAGTCTCTTGCACTTAAATCCTCCCGTCGTCCGCTCTCAGAAAATATATGGGTTATGGGGAGAAGGATACTGAAAGTATAGGTTGTTTGTAAAATCGTGACGACAGATTTGACTGCGGCCTTTGCGCCCACAAGAACAGAAAACACTCGAACAGAAAGGTACCATCTCAACTCTCAGCTCAGTCACTTTCAATTCCGAAATACTCTCATATGTAAACAGAAAAACCATTTGAGGAGAAATGAAAACTTAAGAAAATGCGGTTGCCGGGAGCGCGTGCGTGTCGCGCGCGGTCGCGTCGCCATTGTCAAGATTTTTCGACATAATCCTGGTGAAAGCGTGAGAAACATGGTATGGGCATGTTTCTTAGCTCCTTAAAACGACGTTTTTGTAAGGCATACGTATTTACACTATGCGGCCAAACTTACAAAGGCTGAAAAATAATGTGCTCCAAACAAGATTCGCACTAGAGCGCCGATCTTGTTCGGAGCACCTTATTTCTAGCTTATTTTCTTCCCGCTATTCTATTAAGATAAAAAAAACGACTTCTTTTTTCATTTGCACACTAGAAAAGTAATGTCTCCTCTAAAGGTTTTAGATTGCTTTTTTAGTTTCTTATGTACCTGGGGTTATTTTTCATGTTCACAAATATGATAACTTGCAAAATAATGCTTCCTTGCACTCCGTCCACCAATATTGTTTCTTCAGATGAGAAATCATCTCCGATTTTTTCAGTTGATTCAAGCAAGCTTGCAAGAATTAGTTTTCCGTTGTATTTTGTTTACCACTTACTTCACAGAACATGATTTTGAAGTTTTTCTTCTATTTGTAAGGCGTTTCCGCTCAATCCAACTCAGTCTACAAATTCCCTTTTATGCTATGTTCGGAAAATTCTGATGTTCGATTTTCAGAGGGTAAATGACCGCGAAGGCACTGGCAGATCCGTGCTTGAGGGCACTGAGGCTAGAGCAGTGGCTTGAGCAAGCTGAAAGCTTTCTTGCCCCTTATTTGGAGAAGAAAGTCATTGTTGTCGCATTGGTAGGTCAATGTTTGCTTTGTTCCTATTCTTTTAACTCGTGTTTCATTTTTTTACATTTGTTTTCATATTTTTCTTTTTCAGTTGATGTTCCAGGTAGGCAAAGATTCTGTAAATCGAGGTAAAGGAGAGGATCTCAATGATTTTCTCCGAATGGATGTGTTTCCGCGCTGGACAACTGAAGAAAGTACAATGTCTGTAAGTCCCATCTCCACTTTGCTCAGTGAATTCCAGCTTTTTCCATATACCTGGGTCACTTGTATCTCTTCATCACATTTTAACCATATTCAGATCGAAGCTTTTTACTGTGTGGATACAAATATAGTCTATCTGCTTGTGAATGGTTATGCGGATTTCACAAACTTGCGACAAGTATTGACCCCAAATCCCGAGAAGGTTAGCAATCACTGATGCAAGCAATATCTTGCAGCAATCAGTTTCAGAACTTCTTCGAAAGACTCGCTGAAAGTGAGGAGGAGGAAGTTCGGCTCCTTCACTTCATCAGCATCTTTTCGCATATGATCATTTTTGTAGAAAGCAGCACTCGCTTTGATATTTCGCTCGCGGATATGCTAGCGAGTGTAAATAAATTAAGGCGAGTTATTGGTACGGTTTTTTAAAGAAGACGACCTTTTTTACTCGTCATGCCTTTATAGGAAGAATGTCAGAGAAGATATCAGCGAAGTATTAGAGGAAACCTCAAAAGAACCTGCTGAATGGATAAAAGAGGGACGAGTTGCTTGTCCTCGTATAGTGTTTGCTTTCCAGCGAAATATCATCCGCACTGAACTCGGTTATGTGAAAAAGGTAAGTCGAAGTCTTTTTTGTTGCTACTTTCTTTTGCTTCTCTTTTCTTCATGAATACATTGCTCTTGGGTATGTAATAACCACATCCTAGGTTGAAAAACTGGCTAGCGTTACCTGAACCAGTAAGGATCTGTCTTTTTTCTTATGCAGGAAAATCAGGGCTAAACGACTCTACATCTATTACTTTCCATTGCTCATGTGGTCATTGTTGTGTGCGCTGTTTAGAGGCTTAAAAAGGGCTAATGTGCATTTTCAGCGTGAAATCTGCGACAAGCTGGAACACAGTCTGGAGTCTCAAATTTACTCAGTGCTCAAGTGCTACAAGCTGGTCGATCAGATAGCGTGAGTTTCATACTTTATCTCATTCTGTTCCCTCTCTCTTTCATTCTTTCATGTGCTTCTTTTTGTCACTTTCGGTGAGGTATAAGCTAATATTTTCAGTGGTGATTCGTTTGGCTATGTCCCTGAAAGCGATGCATATGTCAATGTTATGCAGCCTGTATCGGTCAACGTCAATCCGCTATCTGATATCCTGCAGATTGCGCTTGGAGAGGACATTACTGAAGAAGCCGATGAAAAATCGGAAAGTATGTTCTTGAAAACCACATATTTCTCTAAAAACGAATCATTTTTGTAAATTTTGTAGTTTTAGGGATCCCCTCATTCAGTCGATTTCTTCGTATGCAGCTAGATGCAGTTCGCTCCGAAAAATCGAGAATTTATGAGGTAGGCACATTGCACAAGGTTTTTTGCGTTTTTTGACTTTCTACTTTTTTGTATTTTTGAGATACCAAAACTGGAATTGTGGATCAAGTACGCAAAGGCATTGGTAGAAATCATCAGCCCTAGCTCAGAGATTGTCACTAAAAAGTTGCTGAATCAGTATGTGAATAGGCAACTGCAGTTTATGAGAATGTAGGTTTTTGATATTTTCGTACTTATTTCTTCTCCTTTCGGGTGAACCTTCCAATTTTAGGCTCAATGCTAAGCATGTAAAAGAAGCAATAGCGAGATATACCGGTACGTCGCCCAGTTTTGGTAAAAATAAACCGCTTACAGACAGAGGTCGAAATCAAGTGTTTACGAAAGCCGAGCACGATCACAAAGTGAGTATGCTATCCGTATTGTATCTCACTATTTTCTCGTTTCATAGATTTTGAGGTGTAATTTAATCTACAAATCAGCTTAGGTTCCGGTTTAGGTTGCTCTTGCTATAGCTTATTTGGATGCTGTGTTAGTTGGAGATCGAGATGAAGCAATAGCGCAAGTGCGAGCCACTTGTGACAGTCTTTGGCAAGGAGGGATGCGAGGTTGTGAGGAGATCTCGATGACAGGAAATCGTTGCCAGTTAAAGGCAAGTAGATTATGTCCCTTTTTATTCACTTTACCTAATTTTTTTTTGCTGCATGACTATTTAAGTTGGTGATTGTTCATCTTACTCGCTCATGATATTGTGATCTGGCCCTTTCTCGCAAGTGTCACACAAAAGACCTTCAGGTGCATGCTGCCATTGGTGATGCATCCGTACCATCCAGTGAATGGGAAATGCATTCGAATGACATCACATATCTTTCCACATGCTCTTGTGGCCGGCGTCAGGCAGTACGTAGGGATCCTTTCACTCTCAAGGTAACTTCATGTATTTCATCATCACAAAATCACGCCTTTTGATTATTTAGGAAGCAAACTATGACTTTTATTTCGAAAACAAAATCTTTTCATGCTGTGCTGGACTGGAAAAACATGTGTTTGCTGTGTTAGAGGATGATGATACTGATGCAGACAAGGGAGGAATGGTAAGTGCCTGTTATTTTGCAAAGAGTTCTGTTATGTATATGTGTTTCAGTGGTCCGGTAATGAGAATTGGGAAGGTGAAGGCGCAGGCTCAAATCCGCTTTTCCCTGTCCCTGCCGCTTTGAGAGATAGGCAGAATGCTGACGATGATTCTAACAGACCAGAAGGTGATGATGAAGATGCCACAGAAAGCGAAACTGGCGAGGATTCGGTAAGTCTTGGTGTTTTATGCAATTCATGCAAAAGCATGTTACACAACTATTTTAGGTAAGTAACGCAGAACCCGAAGTGATTGAGAGTTCCTCACAATCATCGCAAGATGATGATGTGCATTATCAAGACATGAGATCGTATCTGGACGACGAGTCAGGTGAACGTCGGTGTTTATCTATAATCCTTACCAAGTTGTGTGTTTTTTTTTTGATTTCTACTATGGTCACATTCTTTCTTTTGCAAGGTGCTACTTATAGTTTCTTTCGTGAAAAATCCCCACACCAAGCTTGATGAAGCCGCGATTGCATTCGAAGCTCGTTTGAAGAAGCTGAGAGCAAAGCAGGTAATCATCATTAGATAAACTATCCTTTGATTTTCGTTGTTATGCCATATAGACAGGCCGTATTTGAATATTTTTCACACACATTCACGCCATTTTCAGATACCATTCCTTGAAGGAGTGCCGCACTCGCTTTCTCCAAAGTTGCCACCTCTTTTCCCATCGTGGACACTCACTTGTATTGGACCGAACAGTTACTATACGTAAGTCATTGTGTTTGATAGGGCTCACATTTTCTGCAGCATCTGCATTCAGGCATTCTTATGGTCTTCGTGACCAACCCAATTTAAAGCTGGGTGGAGAGTATCTGTATCCTGTTAGTGTTCAATTAGAAGTGAGTTATTTGCAAACTTTTACCTTATCTTATCGCTGTTTTAGGATTCACTTCTTTTCTTATACTGTCACAATTATTTTTCTTGCCAGGTTGATCCTGTTTCTTGGGATCGCGACATGCAGTACGTGCAAGCAGTTGAAGGAGTATCGTCGCGACCTCCTCCGCGGAAACCAAGAAGGTTACCCGCGGAAATAGAGAAAGTAAGACGTCTATTGGTGCATGCATTCACTCGACTTTAATGTGTTCTTCAGGTTAAACTCTTCGTCGGAATGGAGTATGAATGTCCACGCGGTCATCGCTTTTTTGTAGCAGAAAATGGAGAACCGCTAAGGTTACCAAAGGTGAGGGAAAATTAACTCTGTTGTTGCTTGGTTTGGAACTTACACTTATTTTTAGAACTCAAATGCTAGATCTGCGCTGAATCGAGAATCGGATGATGAGTTCTTGCACTGTGATTTTCCACTGAGACGTCAGTGTACGTGCAGAAAACTACCTGTGCAAACAGCTCAACTTATGCGAGTTCACGTCGTTACTCCTAAGGCGCCGATAACAGTGACTATCCAACCTTCTGTTGAGGTGAGTTCCTGCTTCAGTTCAATAACTGGATCTTGGAGAGCAGATTTTTTTTTTACAAAGTATGATCCTGTCTCACTGCTTTCCAGGGAAGTTTGTTCATTCTGCTCGTTAATTTCATTGTTCGGCATCAACTTCGTAGATTTATGAAAATCTTGGAAGAAAAGTTCACATCTTCGCGATTACATCTTTTGAGAAACACCTTACAAGTTTCAAAATTGCCGGATGAAAATCTTTTTTGGTGATGTGTACAGTTATTTTGCGAAACTGGGATCTTTTCCAGATTCCTGGGCAGGAAGGCTGTTTTGGTACTGGTGAAGGACCGCTCCAGCTTTCGTGGGCAAGGTATTCAGCTACCATAGGATTGAAATATACATATTCTGTAACATACTGCTCTAGGTATTACATACTGCAACTACCTTTCATATACTCCGGACCATCGGGAGTATGGATACCACCAGTAGGGGTCGAAAAAGTGGGTACATTCAAGGGCGACGCTATCCAAGTGAAATACGTCCCGATGCTGTCAAGGAGATGATTGTACAAGTGTCAGTTAGAGGATTTCATTTCATCTGCTCCTAACCTGTGTCCCGGGACGCTGTATGTCAGTGTTAACGAATCCCGCTGGACTTACTAGGAGTCGACACTGTTATGTTGTGAATTGTTGCCGGTGTTCCGCTCACATTATTGTTTCTGTCGGGTCTGATTTTTTTTTTCCTTCTGAAAATTTTTGTGATGTTGATCTTATCATTCATCAGATGTATATATAATATATTTATCCGTAAAATAAAAGGTCGGAAAATGATAATTTTTAATGTTAAGAAAAGAGAAGTCGTGAGAAGCATTTTTTAATCTTCTGGGTAGCTAGCCAAAGGGATTAGATGAATTTATCATAAATTTTTTCATAGACTTTATTCACGGCGTTCACTATAATGGATCCGAAATGATGTTTTCTTAATCGGTTGATAAAGCGAGAAGAGCCTCATTGCGCCTACCGTAGTGCTACGGCGACCACGCCCGCATAGCAAGTACGGTAATAATCCTCCCTCGCACTGCGGAAACATTAGTCAAGAACTTATCTGTGAGGGAAGACACCCGCTGGATATGTTCGTTTCCTGACATTTCTCCGTGGTGGATGGTATCACAATTAACATTTCGCCCCATGCGGTTAACTCGTTTTACTTCGTTTTCGAGGAGGCTACTGAATGTGTGCGAACTTCTGAGTGACTTGAGGATTTTCCGTATGCCATGGTCGCGTCACATGCCAATGCGCCACTTCCCCCCCCCTCTTCTTTAGCACTTCACAGTTCTCCTATCCTCATACCGAAACATGATAATTTTAAGGATCATTCAAATTATTGTGTTTTTCCCAAAATGGCATAATTGCAAATAACCAGTTGATCTCCGCTGCATCGGCCATCCCAGGACGAAAAGTGCAAAAAATTGCTTTGGACGTAAGCAACCGATATTCTTGCAAGGGTGTAATTCTTAGTCCATGTCGACTTACTGAGTATTGTGAGTACAACTTATGGTGTACAATTTTAGTTGTCTCACATTTTTTTTGAACTTTGGATTCTTATCGTTGTAAGTCCTGCTTTTCTATTCCTAAGTTCAGCGTATCATTCAACTGGCAAAGCATATTCTACAAGATGGATTATAACCGTTTACACAAATCGACCCACATAAGGATTGAAGCCAAGATCTAAAAAATTCGAACTTCCAGAGAAATCTGGAAAATTTTAGCTTCTTTCAAAAAAAATCCTGCGAATCCAACACTCATTTATGCAGATATTATACTCCCCATATTAGACATCAACAAATACGCTTGCTGATTTTTTACTGGCTGGAAATTGAGAATAAGAAAGCGCATTTTTTACCTTAGCCTCTAGCGATTCTGTTCTAGCATTCCTCCATATGTGATTATGTTGGTTCACTCAGAATTTCAACCTTTTTGCGTTCTTGTAATTTCCTTAATTTTTGTAATTTCTAGCTTTGAATATATAAATCAGAAGATCAAAAAACCAAATGGTTACAAGCTGTTACACTTTAATGATCATCACTTCCCCTACATAGTGGGTTGCAGTTCTTGAATTTAAAATCTGCAAAAGATAAATAAATCCATACAGCCATGAAGTGATTTTATGGTGTGTTTCCGCAGAAATCATTTTCTCCCATACACCCTTCAGCCATTACAGGAAAATGCCGAAATTGAATAAATCAATATTCTTCCCATAAATTCCCATAAACAGCCTACTACGCTGCAGAAGTGCAGCTGTCAAGATTTTGTGCTTTGGTACTAACAATTTTTTTGTTTGATAAACAAGTGCGCAACTTTTTTTATAGAATATTTAATTTCCCGCCTTTTTCGATTAACGACGCGGAGAAAATATCTGCTGTCTGTGCACAACATCTATCAAGACAAATCGTACCACCTTTCTCAATTTGTGCAAACTGAAAGAAAAGAATAGCCTAAATCCATCTACAGGATCGAAAACATATATGTGCAAAGTTTCAGCTCAGTTGGTTCACGCGCAGGAGTGTCTACAATAAACGTACGGTCCAGAGTTGCACAAACTTTGACTTTTATATGTAGCTATATAGATGCAAAGTGCAGTGCTAGTAAACACTCAAATGAAACGGTTCATAAATTTTTATTTGTAATAGTATATTCAACATAAATAAGATCACATCTGTTTCGGCACAAAGCCTTCTTAGTTGTAATAATATATTCAACATAAATTAGATCACTTTTGCTTAGGCACAAAGCCTAAGTGTAGGATTTTTCGGATTGTGGACGGGCCATTCCACCATCCCTTCACTAAGAAGTTCCAGTAGAGAAATGCCATGAGGTATCGTTTCATGAGGAAAGCGTAAAATCTGTAAAAAAAAGTGGTTAAGGGTTTATGCGAGAACTGGTCCCTAGCAATTGTTGCAAAGCGAAATTGTAAAGAAAAAATGTTCTACCAACCCTGGTTTTGCTTGATTTATCGGTAATGTTTCCATAGGTCCTTTGGAGTTAAACTCAGCCAGCATTCCACGGCGTTTACCCACTATTATTGGACAGGACGCGTAGCCATCGTACTGGAATCTTCAAAATTACTTCAAAGCCGATTGGGGGGGAGGGGGGGGGGGATCATCACCTTTGCGGGCAATTCTTTTCCTTCCATAGCAGCTGTCAGGTTTTTGTCAATCGTCTTCAGATGGCTAGACACAGCGGCAGCCGTCTTCGCATTCGGTGTGTTCATACAATCGCCGGCCGCAAAAATGTTGGTAAAGTTTTTCACCTAAATGAGACTTAAATTGAATGCTGCTGAAAGTGTATTTCTCAAGATTTGATAACTGATACAATTCTCCATCAAGAACTTGTCCATGAAAGTACCAATTTATACAAGCAAGATAGAGCTGTAGCGTCTGTGCGAGAACTAGTCCCCGATTCAAATTGTTTGTGAATCTCAAAGGAACCTTAAAATTGGTGCATTTCGCATCCAGATCTTCGAGAATAGAAAATACGTCTTATATAAGCTGAATAAAGCATTAACAGATATGCGAGAACTGGTCTCCCACTCAAAATGACTGTTTGAAGAATTTCTGAGCAAGTGATGCAACTTCTTGATAAAAACTTGCGTTAATGGAAAATACCAACTTGTACGTGCCAAATAAACTTGTAGCGTTTTTGCGAGAACTGATCTCACAATCAGACTTATAATGCTTATAAGTTTTAGAAAAGTTTGGAAGAATACAGTTGTCTTAAAGGCAGCGTCCAGGCAGATCTGGACCTATGGGGCTTTTACGTGGAAAGTACTTTTGGGGCCCTAACTAAGGCACTGCCCAAGCGGCAGCTCAGGTAGTGCTCTAATGGCTGAGATATTCCCCTCGAAACTGGCCCCCGCGAACGTATTCGCATGGATTGATGGCAGCTTCGCGCCGATCCACGCTTTGCGCCATGAATCCATGCGAAACACGGTCGCGGGGTCCAGTTTCGAGGGGAATATCTCGGGCGTTAGAGCACTACCTGAGCTGCCAGTTGGGCAGTGGCTTAGTTAGGGCCCCAAATATACTTTCCACGTAAAATCCCCATAGATCCAGACTTGCCTGGATCTATGGGGATTGCCTGCCTTCAAAGTGCAGCACTATCTATCGCATGGCAAAAACCGCGCATGCGACCGCACGCGAAGCTTTTGCGACGCGGGTGCGGGAATGCGACGCGAAGAAGCTCTGAAATGACCTAATTATAGTATAGACTGCAACAAGATGCTTTCATTAATGCTATAATGTACAGTGCAAATCCTTGAATTTTGATCCAAGTAAATCAAGCTTACCCTTAAAGGCAGTGTCCCGGCAGATTTTGCACCTCCACCTTTTTGTATGTTTTAAGCCTTTTCGATACGTAGAATCCGAATTTGAGCTTTGAACGGGCTAAAAAGGCCGACTTTGGGGCGTTTTCCTAATTCCAGAAAAGCAGCTTGGACGAGATTTTTAATGGAAAGTTGGCGGAGGTCCTCAGACGAAGATCCTGCCGCCTGTAATTCTTGCTTTGGATAGCATGCATCATGGGGGAGAGCGCTCGTGGGGTCCCGCGCCGAACAGGCGGGGAAGGCCGTCCAAGCGCGCGCCAGTTGGGGTTGCGCGCGCCGGTTCAAGGGCCATTTTCTCGGCCCAGGGGGAACATCACCCAGCCGGAGTGCGCCTGGAGGTCGATGGGGTGACCAGAAACCCCACCACACGTATATCCCCCAGGACCCGAATCTGCCGGGACACTGCCTTTAACGTCTCAGGATCGACATTGACCCATCCAGTTTCGTCGACGATTTCCTTACAATTCCTCACGGCTGGAGGAGTTGAACATGGTGGTCCGACATGCAATAGCGAGTACTGTAATAACGAAGAATAAGCAAGATCTGTTGGGGTTTGAAGGCGCGGTCCTTTTTGCACATCTACCATAGGCTACCGTAACCCTGCGCTGTGGAAAGCAATAATCACATAAGCACTCATTTGAAAGATAGCGATTATCTCTTGCGCGGGATTAGTGCCTCCAACTTCACTTGGGTGCTGTGCAGCATTACGATAGCATACTGTAGTGGCGCAAAAGGGCAGTTTCTCAAGAAAGAAAAAAACCACTCACAGGTATCTCATCAAACTTTCCGTTTGGTTTCGCATTCTCATCAAGAAGTTCAAATTTGGCAATTTTATTTTTTGTATCCACTTCGATAAGATTATGTCTTGTTCTGACGTCAATATTCTTTTCTTTGGCAATTTTTTGTAAAGTGCCGAGGTAGGCTTCAACACCGAACAGCTGCAAAGTCAAAATGAATAAAATTATTCCAACGAGAACTGGTCCCCGACTTACCCTTGGTAATGAGGTAGCATAGATAAAGTTAGTCTTATCGCGATAGCCTCGTTCTTTGACGATATCCTCGCCATAGTAGAGTACTTTCTGTGGAGCACCAGCACATTTGATTGGTGCATTGGGAAAAGTGAATACGCACTTTCCTGACTAAAAAAATTCTCCATAATTTGAAAACAAACAAAAACAATAATAGAAGAACTGGTTTCATGAGTAAAATTGACATCACGAAAAAATCAGTGAGTCGAATTTTTTAAAAATTTCTCAGTCTGCCCTCTGAGCTGCTCATAAAAAAGGTCTAAAATTTATAACAGACATGCTCCAGTATATTTCCGTTTCATATAGTATTTTTGTATACGGAAGGGGCGGGCAAAACGCATGCAACTTGAAGCACCGCCCATTGCGTCAGGCACTATATCGTGCCGAGACCGGTGCCCCATCGTATCGAGACCATTTTCGGCCATTAGCGAAGCATCTGATTTGCGCGCGAAATTTCAAATTGCCGCATTCCGCAACCTTTCGAGCTGTCGACAGCACTTGTTCGTAAAGGATAGCCAGGGAGTGCAAAGGTAGAGAAATGCACTCCACGCTCATTCTTTTACGCGCAATCGTTGTGAGCAGTGCAGGCAGCCTATCTGCCAAAATTACTTGATTTTAGCACGATAATAAAAAATTCAATACTTTACAAAATCTTGCACTTACCGTAACGGTGCTAAGTTCCTTAAATGTTTTCGTACAATGGAAAGGTGAATAGTTTGAGCACACTCCGGGTGTATCAAGTCCTTCCGGTAAGCCTTTGATCTGCAAAAAATCAATAATATCAATACTTTGTTGAAAACTGAGTGATATCATCTATCTACTTAGCAAATCAAATCGTAATTGACAGCCTGTGGCTATAATCATAAAATCATAAGTTATTTCTTCTCCACCACTGAAATTATAAATTTTCCAATTACCATCAGAAAATTTATAGTTGCTAACAGTCAGTAGCTTACCTCAAAGTAACTGAATTCTTCTTTGGTTCGAATTTTTCTACTCTATCTTTTACCCAAACTGTATTGGGGTGAATGAGATCCTTTTCTTGACGAGTGTGATATTCGACAGGAGTGTAACCGCCGCCGACCAGCGTGAAACCGGGTTGGTAGTAATGGGTCTAAAATACAATTTCTTAGGGTTGCATCTTTTTAATGATATTACATTTTTTCACAAAATCGTATGGATCAAAGTATTGCTGCCAAGAAAGAGTTCTCGCTGTACTCGTTCGTTCAAAATTACTGTACCAAGCTAACCATTGGCGGTCCAGGAGATATTTTGGGTTCCCCCCCCCCCCAAAATATCTCCTGGACCGCCAATGGTTAGCTTGGTACAGTAATTTGGCCGCGGCCGCCTCGCTTAGGCTACAGAACAGATTTGGCAGTCGTTGCAACTTTCAACTACAGTATCCTGGCGCCATGTACAGGGTATTCGTGGCGGGACTTTTGTGTTCCAGCCAGTTCGGAGACTGTCTCCAATCATTTTCCAACGGATTAAACTTGCCTTTATGGATTACAAAAGGAGCAAGTACAAGGATAGTGAAAGTTGGGTCTGGTATACGCACAAAAACACTAACCTAGAGCGATGACAAAGTGGAATTTGGACGATGTTCGAGGGTTAAATAAGATTATTCGTTTTCCGAGTCATTGTTTTTTACCTAGGTAGAAGCAAAGAGGTTCTGGACATGTTATCACTGATCAGACTTCCTAAAGCACGAGTTCACCTTTTTATGACGAGCGTCAATCGCACACAAGAAGGTTTAAAAATGTACTTGTGATCAGTGAGATGTTACAGAACTACATGAGAAATCAAGAAACTATCATAAGAGCATATGTAACAACCCAACGATAGCCATCCTTTCTCAGCAAACAGTTTTTTTGGCTTGTCAACCAAACGTGGCTTAAGTCACTGTTGAGGATATAGCGATAGGTTTAGCATCATAAATCGCTGCGTAAGTGATTATTAGCCCGCTTTGGCTCTACGCTACTATCAAATGCTCCGAAATATTATAATGAAGATTCTGGACTGGTACTGCTGCAACTTCTTTACAGCATAGGCTATAAATCCCTATTGATGTAGCATACTGTTCTCACTTATACATTGTGGTTCTCGTTAGACATGAAGATAAGTTCATTCACATCGCATCCCAACATCAGTACTTGATGCATAATTTCATCGTCAAAACTCTTATTTCCCCTTGCTTATGTTGCCGGAAAGCAGCAAACTGGTTAATGAAAGAGTCATCTACTGCAAGTGACAAGATTCGACAAGTTTTGACAAATTCCTTGCATAGCTAAGTATCCGAGCTTTGGTGAACATAACCGTGAAGAAATCAACAAGAGATACCCATTGTATCGTACATACCCAGAATTGTTCCCCTGTGCTACCAACGTAGCTGCCCTTCGTTCGTTCTAACATGTAAAATTCGGATAAGCGCTCAAATTTGCTGGAGACAACATGTTAAAACGATTGAAAGGCAGCCACGATGGTATACACCTATGATCGTCTCCATAATTCGTGTAGAGGTGTATTGCAGACTTTGCCTGATAACACAGGTAAACTTGCTAAACCTCCACGTCATAGCATTGTTTTTTGTACTCTCTCGCTATCAAAAACCGCCACACTTTGAGTTGGCAAAACCCCGCCTCTACACGAATCGTGGAGCCGATGATACCTATGGAACAATTTTGAGGGATGCACCAGATATTGTCTGCAACTCACTTCATTCATGAAGTCAAACACAATACTAAACAAAACAACTCACCAGCTTTGACCTGCTATATAGTATCTATCTATAGTATTGGTCATTTGTTTTGACATTGGCTGTAAGGCCTCACAGAACGACTTGAAAAAAAGAGAAAATGACTTCACGAATATGCAGCTCTTTGACCACTAGTTAAACATCGAAGCAAATGTATGCATCTAGATTCAGTGGCGGCTTCGATCTATATGCCGCTGCAACTTTACTTCTCGATTCCACAATTTTTTGCGAGCACGTCTGGACCGAGTGATTTGGGCTAAGGTCACACAGGAAGGATATGCCCAGGGTAAAGCGGGGGGTGCGGCACTCGACCGTCGGATACGACCCCCCCCCCCTGATTGCTGTCTTAATAAGACCCCCCTCCTAAACTATACACTTAAGATAGTATTACCTGAAGGCTCTGTCAAACATAATGGACAACATATCCATAATTAGCATGTCAAATACCCCCTGTAGACAAAGTGTGAGCGAATTCTGAAGATTCAAGATACTAGGCTACCTAAGTGAAATGGTCAAATTCCAACATGGTTAACTTTGTTTTAAAGGTGAATTAGCTATCCGTTTTTGCACTCAAGACAAAGCACTACTCCTTCTTTGTCCAACTCAGGAATCCCGCTTCAGAAGACCTCCAAACTGTGGAATTAGAAGCCAACCAAAATCTCATTTTTCCCATTTTTCGCTTTTGATGGCTGTGCTTTCACCAAATATTACTCAGAGCTAAGAAGACGAATCAGGCTCAAAACATCCCTATGGAATCTACGAGGTTTAGGCTATCGATTCATATAAATATTGTCCGCTAAAAATGTTTTTTTGATATAGTTAATGGCCTGCGGCACCCCTGCGGCACCCCTGCGGCAGCCGCAGGTTTTGAGGGGGGGTGCCGCAGGCCATTAACTATATCAAGAAAACATTTTTAGCGGGCAATATTTATATGAATCGATAGCCTAAACCTCGTAGATTCCATAGGGATGTTTTGAGCCTGATTCGTCTTCTTAGCTCTGAGTAATATTTGGTGAAAGCACAGCCATCAAAAGCGAAAAATGGGAAAAATGAGATTTTGGTTGGCTTCTAATTCCACAGTTTGGAGGTCTTCTGAAGCGGGATTCCTGAGTTGGACAAAGAAGGAGTAGTGCTTTGTCTTGAGTGCAAAAACGGATAGCTAATTCACCTTTAAAACAAAGTTAACCATGTTGGAATTTGGCCATTTCACTTAGGTAGCCTAGTATCTTGAATCTTCAGAATTCGCTCACACTTTGTCTACAGGGGTTAATTGACGTGCTAATTATGGATATGATACGAATATCATGTTATCGCTATAATCAGATCACCTAACTACGACCCCTCCCCTTTTGACTCCTCAATACGACCCCCCCTCTGCGGCGTGCCGCACCCCCCGCTTTACCCTGGATATGCCTCCCCCTGCGCTACTCTTAGTAAACTACCGCGGCGGAACCTCCTTCAGCCCGATAGGAATAGCTGATGGCGGATGGCGCCATGCAAAACTTCTTTCTCAAAGGACCGGGACACTAACGGTCCCGACACGAATACCCTGTAAATGGCGGCCCTCTACTGTAGTTGAAAATTGCAACGACTGCCAAATCTGTTCTGTGCTTAGGCTTGCGCCGCATTCGCAAACGTGCTGTCAAACCATTCTCCCACGACTAATCAACAAGTGACGCTCGCTTCCGAAAGAAAATGGGATTCACAAGGGAACCCATTGCTTTCAGGGTTGTCTGACATCCCGCAAGCGCGATGAAATCGTCGTGAAGTTCTATTTAGGAGCTCTTACGACAGTGCCAGGCATGTTTATAGCAGAATATGTGTAATCTCAGGATATCAAGGTCTTCGATGAACCACTATTAGTGGTTTGTTCATTGTTCGTGAGCTGATGTTCCTCGAAAAATTTCAACCTGTACAATCCATTTGTTTCCTCGAAAACATCCCTCGTAGTACCATGGTGAATCCTCAGTACAACTTTGACAATTCATTCAGTTTCTGGAAAGGTGGACGACTTTGGAAACAAAGGTGGATGTCCACGGAATCAACAGTGGAGACTCAGCTGAGTGACAATGTTCTGCCATCCATATCCATGGCGCCATCTAAATCTACAGTCGGTTTCATCCCGGATTAGGCGGAATTTTAGGAGGAGCACGCGGCGCATCGCTGAAGGCTTCGCGAAAGCGTAGCGCTGGCATTTTGCCAAATAAAGACAGGAGAATGAAGAGACGCAAACCTGGGTTCTTAGCACGATGTGAACTGTAGATGAGAAATGGCGCGAGTCGTTGTGAAGCGGACGCCTGCCAACCCAATTTCCGCCTAAAGCAGGTCGGAACTTACTGTACTTAACCGGCTGCGCGGGCGGTCGCGCGTGCGCCATCGCTGCGCGCCGGGACCCAGAACTCCCTTTTCCAGCATTAATGTTTGAAGGGTGGGGGACATTAGGTCGCCGAAAAAGGGCGGTCCCCGCGGTCATTTGCGACAAATACGCACCCTTGTATATGCGCGGACACGCGTTCCTGCAGGGAATCCGCGCGGGACTCTTCCAAACGGCGACCTGATGTCCTCCGTCTGTTTGAACAGCGCTGCAATGTATGAATCATTTCGGCGCGACAGCTGTTGCCGCTAACTTTTGACTGCAGTGCATGGTCTTGGTTGTCTATTAGTGATGGAAGTGTTGCAGGTTCCAATAAAATATACGTATACCCCTCCTACATTCCTCATATCGTTATCCGAGTTGAGATGTTGACTCAGACGCACAATCTGATGGTGATAGTCTTGCTAGAGAGCCTAACATGTCAAAAGTTTCAACGAATGCGGGAAAGTATTCATGCGAAGTTGCAAACGTTTCTGCTTGACTCATACTTTTGAATGTTCTTCGAAAAAGTTAGGAATAGCAATTTTGCTCATACAAGACGCTGTTGCTGTGCAGAGCAATAACTTTTGAGGCCTAACTCTGCAATTTCAACAGAATCAGAATAAGAAAGAAACAGTCATCTAGACTAAGAGACTCTTAAAAACAGACATTACCTGATAGTTGAATTTGCTTTTCCTAAACTAGATGATCAATAATCGAAGACGAGATAGCACGGTATGAAGAACAAACGTAAAATTATCCAGTGTTTCCTCAGTGAAAGATATATTCCCGTGGAGAGTCAAGGTTGGCCCTATAAAGGCCGAAGTGCGGTAGTTTGAGGATAGATGTGTTGGTCATAATTCCTTTTCTATCAATTTTGATGCGATACGTTTTCTGAGGAATATGCGCCCTTCCGCCACTCGGCTGCCGCTCGCGAGCCGCCGCGCAGCCAGCCCGGTAGGAATAGATGGCGCGGTTGGAGAACGCATGTTCCCGCCGTTTTCGCACCTCCTAATGAGGATTTTCGGAGTTGCGGATAAGCTCCGGTAAATGAATTTTCTAAAAATCGAGTTTTTGCCCGGACACTGCCTCAATCAATGCCGTAGGTAATCAAGACAAGGGAGTAATGCGAAAGAGAAAAAAGAAAAAGAACTAACCTAAAGAACATTTGCTGTCTAGATTATATGTATAGGAATTTCCTGCCTTGCTCCTATAGCGCCGATTAAGCGCATCGCGGCAATTTCTAGCTGACACTTACAAGTAAGCACCCCACCCCCCTCCCCTTACGAATATAATTGTATTCATGCACACCAGATTATCTTTTCTCCTTAAAATCAACTTCCGTGAAAAAAAATCGTCTAAGCAATGAAATCCTGTGGAAGGAACAAGTACAGTTGTATCAGTGGTGACTTGGGCTGAATGCCCTGCGATCAAAAACTGTTCATTGTATGAATCAAAAACATTCGAAACAGTGTTATAATAGATCAATACACCAGCAGGGTAGAAAAATTCCTTTCCTTTTGTATTATGGAAAAGCAGCAAAACCCCGGAACCTGCGCGGGGTTCACATGGTACCCTTCGCTTCAACCAGATCGGCTGCTGGGAGGCGGGGCTTCATGACCTAGGAGGCGACTGCTCACATCCGCGACACAGTCTGTGCCTCACTCGAGAACATGCTCTCCTATCATTTTTTAGCTTCAATTAGGTCACGAAGCCCTGCCATTCAGCCGCCGATCTGGTTGAAGCAAAGGGTAAGTTATACCGAAGCAAGCGATGAGTGAGTAGCCTTCCAAGCTGATTTCTCTATGTGGGAAAAGCGCAGGAAAAGACGAAGAAAATGGGTAATGCAGTCGTACTTTTTTAACCAGGGGGGAAAGAGGGAAGCAAAATTAGCCTGGTATTATGTAGCCGCACGTAGCATGGCTTGACATGCGAAAGATTCTCGCTCGGATCCGTTTATGCTTGCTTCAATCTATAGCGCAAATTGCCATTGCTGTGCACTCACGTGTGTAGAGTTTACCAGATCATGACAGCCAGTCATATCGGCTTTGGCCATTGCTCGTGCAGTACGCCATATTAGATTTTCCCGGTTTTCTTTTTCCTCTCAAACGCTTTTGTACCATCAGATGACAACTTTCTACAAGTAAAATTAGTTCTGAAAAAGTGTAGAACGACGTAGCTGCTTTAAGTGGTTAAGCCCTATGGCGTACTGCGCGAGCAATGAACATGACTGATACACGACTGCCACGATCTGGCAAGCTTTGGATACAGGCACTCGCCAGACTGTGGCACAAGCACAAACAGTAACGCTCCATATCGCTTCGACTATGGAGACGCAAGCATGATGGTAAAGAAGCGTTAAACTCAAGCATGTACAGTCTGTCTGTTGAATTTGACATTTGGCAAACTGCCAGATCGAACGACTGAAATCGTGTTATGGAAAATACGAGGCCTTTAATGAGACGAACGCGCACTTTGACCCCTACCAAATCGGCTTCTCCCCAGGGAAACTGCAGGCATCGGACTATTTTGGTTTCGAACCTGCTTACACTCAAACCTACATGGCTCCTAAGCATCCTCTGACACGACATTGCTGAAACTTGTTAGCGAGCGGTA